GAGGAGCTTGGTCCAGGAGAAAGGGAGCCCCGCTTCGGCGCCAAGTCCAAAGCCAGTCGCTCGCTCTGCCCAGATTTCCTCTGCAACTCCTCCACGTCGCCTTCACTTCGAGAACAGTAGCGAAACCCTCCGCTTAGAGGCTGCTGGGTTAAGCCACCAGTCACAGAAGCGTGAGCGTCTCTGGACTGACCTTGCGTGGGCAGCAGCCGCACCTGTTGACCGGTCCTGCCGAAGCTGGCCTCTGAAGGGGGCTGGCGACCACGGGCGCCCCGACCCGAGGTGCACCCCCCCCCCCACAGACAACCAGGGGGCCTGACAAGACGTGCCCTCCTCCCCCAGAGGCTGTCCCCACCACTCCCCTTCCTCCGGTGGCGGCACGGCCTGGAGGTCTTCGGGACACCCCTGGAGATGCACACGAGGTCCCGTGCTGGCCCGTCAGGGGGTGTGGCTCCTACAGAGCCTTTGTGGGATGCTGCTCACCCAGCAAGACCTGCTCGCTCAGGACAGGCGAGAGAGAGGATACCCAGGCCCAGAAGCCCAGGAAGACTGCCCTGGTGCTCCAGAATTCTGAAGATACCAGGTGGTTGCAAACATGAATCCAGGCGGTACCGGTCCTCTGCATCCCTCGGTTCACATCGCCAAGAGACGCAGCTGAGGAGAAAGGGCAGGGAAGGGGCTGGGACCAACCGGGCCACCTGGAAACCGGCACAGTAGAGGCAGAAGCGAGGTGTGTGCATGGGCACAAAGTGAGTGCGGGGTGCATTTCTCTGAAGCGAGTTTCAGCGTGGCGGCGATCCCAGGGCACGTGGGTGGTCCTCGTGAGGGAGGAGGGGCCAGAGAAGGCCCGGGGCCAAGACCGCAGTTCACCGGGACCTCCAGTGGGTGACCTGATTCCAGGTTTGGAAGAAACAGACGCTGTAGGAGGGGCTTTGCTCGTTTGCTTCGTATTAAGGAAAGACCTGCAAAGTGGCTGAATGCCCCAACTGCGTGCACTGACTGTGGTCTGTCTGACAAATGTCTCTTTCTGTCTCCTGGCAAAAGAAGTGAGGGCCGTGTTCTCAGTCCCTCAGATGGACCAGAAACCTTCCTTGCAAAAAGACCAGTTGAATTAGAAAAGGATAAATCAACCTAGCTCAGGTCTACCAAAATAAATACCTCCCATGAGAAGCACCAAAAATCTTCAGGATCTGAAGAAAAATTCCGTTATAACTGGTCTAAGCTAGTGGCAAAATTCCTTCCTTGGTTTTGGAAGCAGGATTTGCTGTCCTGAGGCACAGGGATGCTCTGAGGTCCAGAGAGTTGACACACACACCTCGCCCTGGGTCTGGGCCAGCTGTCTCAAGGCTCCCACTGGTTGAGTTCCGCGGGGACTCTGGCCACGAAGACGCAGTGCCAGCTACCCCATCTGGCAGAGGCCACGGCGGGGTAAGCATCCTTAAAGGCAAGAGAAAGCACGTCTGGAAGCTGAAATGTGAAACTATCAGAAAGGCTTGGGAGAAGAAGGAGCAGATCTGCTGGTCCTTGGCATTTCTTATTTAGGCTCCTTCTAATTTTATACATAATTTACACGTGAATCTTTCAGAAAGAGTAAGGCTTTCGTTCCTGTGCTGCTGCTCATCGGACTTTGCAAAAAGTCGCTGCACAGGGTGTCCGCCTGGATGGCCCGCATATCTTTCAGTTCTCACCCTCCAGGTGCGCTCTTGCAAACACTGCTGGTCATGTTGATTCCCCCTCTGGGGTCTGGCGCTCCACTGTGGTCCCAACACAGGCTTGGGGATTGCCAGCTGGACGGAAGGCGGCCCGCTGCCAGCTTCCCACCACGAGTGGACTCCGGTGCGTCTGTTGACACTCCGGTCCCTCTTTGAATTCCTGTTCCGTGGACCTGAGTGAGGACTTGAGCACCGAGAAACAAAAATGTGTGTGAGAGGGAGTATTTCTCCAAATTGTATTTAATTTTGTTTCAGGAGCAGAGAAGGAAGAATTTACTTGGGAATCCAACAGACGGAAGTAGCCCAAAAAAGAAAAAAAGAGACCGGGCTCGGTGGCTCAGCCTGTAATCCCAGCACCTTGGGAAGCCGAGGTGAGTGGATTGCCTGAGCCTGCGAGTTCGAAACCCGCCTGGACAACTTGGCGAGACCTCATCTCTACAATAAGTAAAAAATTAACTGGGCGTAGTAGTGTGCACCTGTAGTTCTGGCTACTTAGAAGGCTGAGGCGGAAGGATCGCTGGAGCCCAGCAGGTTGATGCTGGGGTGGCTGTGAGCATGCCACTGCACTCCAGCCTGGGTGATGGAATGAAACTCCAACTCAAAAAAAAGAAAAAGAAAAGAAA